AACAAAGTCACCAAGACTGGATATACCTGTTGGGACTTTCCATGAAAACTTCAAGCATTTATGAAGCGAGCTGTGGACTAGCAAAACACCTGCATGGCTGGGTGGCTTTTGTTTTGTTTTGTTCCCCCTCCCTGCCCTGAGATTAGTGTCTATTGGTTTGGTCCATGGGTCTGTGCTATTCTGTTTGTGGTTGTTCTCAGCGGTTCCATTTCTCTTAAGTACTGATTTCAGAGCGATACCAGCAGCACAATGAGGGCTGGAGGTACAGTCAGTGACCAGATGCTCATTTATCCTGTCTACATGAGAAAGAATAAACTGTCTGTGACTTTGATTTCCCTGTCCAAAGAAACCAGGTGAGGTGCCAGGCAACTTAAAGATGTTTTACGTGTATGAGAGTTTTAGCTCTGGGAGCACTGTAAGCAGTACACTTATCTGGTATTTGCAGATGATGCCTAAAAGTGTGCTCTTTGGCCCTTCCTGGAGAGGGAGGTGTGTGAGGTGTGCTTGGTGTGAACCCCAGAGATGCTGTAGCCACGGCACCTAGGCCAGTCTCTCTTTAGGAGGGTTCTGGCCATCAGTACCTGCCAGTACCTGCTCATTAAACCAGAGGAACCCAGGAGCAGCTGGTACAGCTGCTACTTTGAGAAGTAGAGTCCCTGTTTTTGTTCTTTCAATACATGGCTCTAATCCTCCAGCACTCTGGCTACTGCCTTTGTGACAGAGCACAAATCAGCATGTGGTGCTGCCCTTGAGCTCAGGCTTTGCACAGAGCTTGTCTCTAACCCTATGGTGATTAGATGTGTGTGTTGGTTTGGGTGGGACTGGGGGACTAGAGGTAGCAAAAAATACTGTGTGTCCAGATCAGGGCCACTCTGGAGCATCTGTCTGTACTGAGTGCACAAGCAGAATAGGGGTTTCTGGGGGTGTATGTCAGCCCTCAGGCTCAGCATCACTTAATGCTGAACTGCTGTGAAGAACCTTAATGGATGCTGCTGTTTTCTCTTGTCTCATTTTGGTTCAGTCCATTAGACAAGAACTTCTTGGTTAATTAAGAGAAAAAAAAAAAAAAAAAAAGAGCAAAGCAGTAATTAAATGAAAATATGAAGCATGAACAGCTAGAGGGCTCTTCTTAACAAAACCATGATTGTAATTTACTGCAAATGTGGCCATAAAACCGAAGAGGACCAGGAGCAGGAGGCAGCTCCTGGTATGGCAGTCAACATCTGCAGTAAAGGCAGCACAGAGTAGGAGAACCTGCAGCCATCTATCTTAGTTACACCGTGTATTGATCTCCTGTTCAACTATAACAAATTCCAGTGCCTCAGGGGCATGAGCCAGCAGCAAATACCAGCAGTTACTCCAAAAAGAGAATGACCCACTGCCCCAGGAGGGGCAAAGGGATCCATGCTGGGACCCTGCAGGTCCTGAGGCCCTGTGGAATATGATGATGGCTGCATTTGCAGAGATCTGGGTGACTTGAGGTAAATGTTGGCAGCTGGAGCTTGGTCTGGGCAGCTGTGCTCCCAGGGCTGTGGATGTGGTGGGATAGTAGAAAGATACTGCAGGATATAGGGCTGCAGGATATAGGGCTGAAACTAATAATGCCCTGCTGTGATTTCTGAGGTTTGGAAAGATTTGAGAGCAAAGACAACTGGCAATGCTGAATGATGTTGTAGCCCCCAAGTCTCTGTCCTCCCTAGGGAGAAACTGTTAGACACTGGGGATCAGCTAGAGTGGGGGGGAAGCAAAGTGAGCATGAAAGTTGGACTGAGGCTCCCGTGCCCAGCAGTGGGCCAAGGGGCTGAGAGGGACAGAGCCGTCACCAAGTCCTGGCATGGCACCATTTTTCCTCACTTTTTTTTTTTTTTGAGTGAAGACAATTTCCTTAAAACCCTTTAATGAAATTACGTTTTCAGAAAACATCTCCTAAGTGCCCTTTGTTGGAGTTGCTATGTATTTATTTGGTTTCGTTTGAAGGGCAACCAGGAAAATGTTCTTAGGTGCCTGAGCTCAAAAGGCCCTTTGGCTCAGCCCAGCGCTGGCTGATGGCACTAGGCCTCATGGCGGCCTGCAGCTCCTCGCAGCGCGGAGCTTTGCTCTGTGTGACAGCAATGGGGCCTGAGGGGACGGCATGGAGCTGTCAGTGAAGGGCTGGGGGTGAGGGAAAGGCTGTGCCCCAGAGGTGGTGGGCATGGCACAGGCTGCCCAGGGCAGGGGGCACAGCCCCAGTGCCAGAGCTCAGGGAGCACTGGGACAGCACTCTCAGCCATAGGGTTTGGGTGGTGCTGTGTGGAGCCCGGGGTTGGACTCGGTGATCCTTGTGGGTCCCTTACATTGAGGATATTCTGTGATTCTATGATTTTCATGAGGGCTCGAGTTATGGTGTGCACCAAGCCCTGCTCTCTGCTGTGGAGGTGCAGAAAGGGTTTATTATGGCAGGCGATACCCACCAGCTCCCAGGGCTCTCACCCTGCGACACTGAGTCTATGCCTGCCCTCACGTAGAAGTACCCATGACAGCAGGCAGAATTTGGCACTGGTGATTTTTCCAGTTGCTTTGGAGAATGAACTGGTGTGCTCCAGCAGCAAAGTGGCCATGGTATTTCTAGGGATTTCCAGCACTGCCTGTCCACGGCCCTCGATTTGATTTCTGTGTCCTCTCTGCTTTTTTGTAGGTGAAACCAGCCAGAAAAGGATGAATGATCCCTAATGGTAGTTTTCATACGTTCTTTTGAAGTAATTCTTTTACAGCACAGCAATAGAGACCAAAACGCATTCAGCTTGAGAGATAATAGCACATAAAAATAACTAAAAAGTTAGTGCATTGACTGTTCGATGCTTAGATAGAAAGTAAAAAAATGAAAGTAATTCTCCTGATAGCTTGTAAGAGCGCTGATTGATGCAGCTGTCTTTTCACTGCCATTTTCAAAAGCCAGGGCTATGCTTTTTTTAGGATTACTTTGATAAACGGATGTTTTGTTAAAATCCCACTGAGCTGTTTTTTGACTGCTGCCTTATTCCTAGCTGATACCCACAGGACGGCAGGATTTGTGCTGCTGGCGCTACGAATGACAACATCCCTCACCTCTCTCACTTGCCTTTAATCATGCTCTCCTGTTCTCATCACTATGGCCCTGCCGTCCTATTTCACAAGCTTTGCTGTCACAAGGCAGTATGCCCGCTCCCACCTGAAAGCACCCGGCTTGGAAGCACCTGAAATATGCTGGATGCTATCAGTTTCTGTTGGAGACCAGGTGCTCAGGAGCTGTAGGGTTGGGACTCTCCTCTCATTATCATCCCAAGTAGAGATCTGGGGATCAAGGAGCAGTTCTTAAGTTCTAATGCTAGTGTAGAACTCCCGTGTTGTGGTAGACAAGTCCTTGAATCTCTGGCATTTGAGTTTCTGTATACAACAGATAGGAAATAAGGATGGAGAAAACTTCACACTCAGAGACTCAAGGATCAGCTTACGGCTGTTCGTGAGACACTTGGAAATTACAGGCAGCAATTACAGTGGCGGAAGGGAGAATGATAGAGGATCTATTCATCCGTGGGCTTCTAACTATTGATAATGCTGTGTTTGAGGAAGGTAATTGCTCTTCAGAGGGAAACAGTCTCTAAGAAATAATTCCTGATGGCTCGTGTTTTCTTGTCTTTTTTTTCTCTCAGGCATGTGCACACAGCCTGTAGCTGCCAATAACCCATTCTTAGTGCAGGGTAATTTCTGTTTAAATGATCTCACAGATCTCACAGCAATGTTTCCCATCACTTGTTCGATTTATCAAGAAATATTTCATTTCCTGTGTAATAGCACAGCTGATTCTCATGAGGTTGCTGAATTACACTTACATTTTTGGAAGATGAATGAAAAATACAAAGATTGGTAAAAACTAAAACGTTACTTACAGTCATGAAGAGCCAAAGGCAATGATTCAGCCTCATTAGATGGGTATGAACAATCTCTTCCAGTGTTGGCTCCTGTTCCTGTATAACTGCTGATGGGTTTTACCTGATTTGCAGTGATTTCAGGAGTGAGCCTTAACCTCCCTACGTAATCTAGATTAATTGGTCTGGTTTTACATGGGCGAGAGAATACTGCAAATCCACAACGATGTAACAAGATGGAGGTAGGGACCCTGTACAAACCCCAGGGATGCGGTGCTCATAGCAGCAGCATCCATGCTGAGAGGCAGTGGGCTCAGCACTAAGAAGCTGGCAGCTCCCCTCTTACTTCTTGTCCAGCACAGCTCCATTGGCTGTCCCTCTCCCCCCTTTCTCCTGTCTATCAGGGAAACAATTCTGTGTGCGTTCTGGCGGGCAGGAGCTGTCAATCAGTGTCCACAGGCTGTGTGTCTGGCCCAGCTGCAGCAGGAGCTGGGCACTGGCTTTGGCTGGAGCTCATTTCAGCGAGATGCAGAGGTGAGGGCAGACGTGTAGGACTTGACTGGGATTATGAACTGGAATAGTTTCTCCTTTGGTTCCATGTCGCCTAGCGTGATTAGCAAACCTCCACATTCAAGGCAATAACATTTCTCTGTTTGCAGCGTGATTGATTTTTTTCTTAATGTCTCTCTTCAGTCAGTAGCAAAACTTCCTGAGTTTATCTTAATACCCTGCACGGAAGTATCCTATTGATCTGAATGAAACGTGGGGAGATACAGCAGCAGTTCCTTACAGCCACATAGAGAGCAAACAGCCTCCATCTGCTCTCTGCTTTGTGGCTGAGCAGAGGCTGGATCTTGAAGCTCTTCCTGGGTGGCACCGTGCAGTGTGAGAGCCTGTTGCACTGCTGGATGAACACACAGCACACGTGGCTGCCCCCCACCAGCTCAGCTGCCCATCCAGCCTGGTCTTGGGCATCTCCAGGGATGGGGCACCACAGCTCTCTCGGCAGCAGTGCCAGGACCTCACCAACCTCTGAGTGAGAAAAGAGAATGAAACTGAAGCAGAACCCTCAGCACTGGCTCCACAAAGAAGAACACTCACACACGTCCTCCAGGCAATGTTTTCTCCTGTTTATTTCAAGAGTCTTTGTAAGAGCTTCACGGCAACGATCCAATGCCATTTCCAACCATGTATGAAGGGAGCCAAACATGTCTGCTCCGTTTGGTGGCAAGCTGTATATAACATACCAGTAGAGTGAGCTGAGTATGGCTTTTAGTCCTCTGTGCTCAGAGATCTTATCCTGGGAAAATCCTGAGCTGACACAGAAAATCAGCTGGGTGATAAAAGCACTCACAATTACTGGGTGTGCTGGATGTCAACCCAGAATTAAATCATTTTTAAAATGTCAATCATTTAAGCAGACTTCAATCTTCAAACTTATTTCAGTTGCTGTTTTGCTGGGAAGCATCATCTCAAGGAGAACAAATACTGGTACTTTCTCATCAACCAATTACAGGAATTTATGTATGCAATGAATGCAAAGGGGTAAGTGATGCCACCAGGAAACCAGTGTGGATGGGGCATTCCTTCCCCAGTTCACACAGTGAAACACAGCAGTCAGCAAACACCAAACCCAGGGAATTAACAGAAGCAAAGTTCCTCTGATGTTCATCATAACAAATAGTAACAGCAGCTCAGTTACAGAGACCTATGAAGCTGTGTGCCTGTAAAAATAAACAAGAATTAAACAGGAATACCTTTGAGCAGACATATTCTTTTCACAGTTGAGTCCTTTTGTATTGGCTTGAAATTTGCAGCTATTACTTTTGTGAAGAGTGTGACGAAAGATACCTCCCAATAAGCTGAAGTTTTGTGTCTGTGTAAGCAAAGAGACAGCTTTTTTTGTTTCCTGGTAAATAAACAGTATGTGCATTCACAACAAAATGGTCTAAAATATTTTTTGGCTGTAGTGGTTTTTGCTGCTGATATTACCATGAAATGAGATGAATTACTGCCCACAGCCAGATGGATTTTACTTCCAGGGACTACAACTGATTCCCTAATAGAAACATTAGGAGATGACAAGCACTGAGAACACACTTGGTGTTTGAATTGCACATTGCCTGAATTATCAGTGATTATGTGTTTTTATAAGCAGTTATTTTACATCAACCTGCTGCCTTACACTTTGTGAAATGTGACAGGGTCACAAGAACATCTTATTCACCTTTCTTAGATGATCTGATCCTGAAAGCACTTGGGCTGTGATGCTGCACGTCTCAGAAGCCACCGATGTCCTTGTGCCCCTCGCTTGGAGCAGGCTGGGAGCTGGCTGGCCCCTGCCTGAGCACAGTGTGGATGCTGGGACTGAAGGGGAGCCGAGGTTGAAATCAGGACCTGCAGTGTACCTAACATGTTGCTCATCTGAGCCACAGAGCAGCGTGGCTGCCTTTCCAGCAGTACACCTGGTTGTCAGCTTCCCAGGTTGGCCCTGCAGCGCTCGCCTGCGGGATGGAGCGCAGCATATGTAAGCGTGCAGCTCTCTGCTTTCCTCTGCATCTCACGCAGTTCATCTCTGAATGAGCTCATGACCCACATGAGCCTGTGACACATCAGGAGCAACTTTGAGCTGTGGTGCTGTCTGTGCTTTTATGATGGAACACAATGCACGTGTGTACTGAAAGCAAAGACTGCTTTTTTTTCCTCCTGCATTACTTGGAAAATACCTCCGATGCTCTCCCTTTCTCCACACTTCCCATTCTTCTGGATACAGCAGGAGCACTGCAAGTGGGACCATCTCAGGGCTTTGGAAGTAAAAGGAGTCAACAGGTGGCAGTGTACATCAACACAGGTACATTTGCTATTTTCTTTCCCAACCTACATGGCCAAGTATCCATAGCAGTATGGTCTGTCCTTTCCCAAGGCAGGGTGCTTGCAGCCAGGTGATCTGTACGATCCCTTCCAACCCAAATCATTCCATGGCTGTAAGGAACAAACCCAACATGTACAGAGGTGGAGGGTTTGCATACGGGTCGTACAGTGCACTGTGCACATTTCATTAGTTATCCTGCAAGAGTCACATATTTGTGCCTGACTGAATTTACCACCTAAGGCAACTTCTACTGTATGATTTAAATACAATATTGAAAATGTGTGTTGGTTTGGAAAGGAACATTAGTAATCCAATGAGAGCAGAAGCCACTGTCCGTAGATCTCCCTAGCAAACAGCACTGCACTAAATATGACTTTGTTTAAATTAGTGTTGAACATTCACTGCATAAATAATTAGTCAATATTTTTTGAGAGAGAAAGTTAGAAAAAAGAAACAAAAAGGTTAAGAATGGTCTCACTGCAATGGGTCATTTCTGTGTAATTATCACTTCATCCCATAGGCCATCAGGTTTATACCAAGGCAGTGGCCTTGGCTATACATCCACCACTCAAATATAGCCATGGGGCACAGGCACCTGTTATTTAGAGTTTCTGCTGCCTGTACAGCTGCTCATCAGGCAGTGGAACTGTCTGAGAGTGATGCAGCAGGAAAATGAGAGGAGTGAATGGAAGGAAAGATGAACTATCCGATCCTAAGCTAACTTTTTGGCTGTCCAAAAATAGAACCTGTAAAAAACTATTCAAGACTGTAATACAAATCCCAAGTTACCTGAAAAGAAAGTGCAGTCTAGTGCAGTGTGCTTTCATTTTCCCATTTTGCTCCTTCAGCTTCCTTCTCATTTCTTGTGCTTCAGTCTGTCTGGGTCTTGCAGGCATCTGCTTTGTCTGCAAAGAAATATCAGGAGGAATTCTACTTGGTGCACCTAGTGCATGTTTAGAGTTTAATTAAGAAAAAGAACAGGCTGCCCTGGGGAATTCTGAGTTGAACCACACACAGTACAAGAGGGGAGGAGTTAGATACTCCAGCATTGCAAGTTTTAAGACAAGCTTCCCTTAGAAAGCTGAAGAAAGAGCAGAAGGAACTACAAAGGACTGGTTCCAAGTCCTCCACATCCTCCTGGCTCGCAGGCTCATGCACATCAGTACTCAATGCCCAGACAGTGCTAGTCCACAGAAAAGTGGGGATATGGAGTTCAGTTTTCACAGAATCATAGAATGGCCCGGGTTGAGTCACGCCAGTACATGGGTATATGTGCACTGCAAGAAATAGGGCCACTGGCAGAAATCAGGGCATGTGCTTTCTTCACATCCCTCTGGGGCTAAGGAGAAGCAGAAGGGAGGTTTTCAAGGATCTCAGGAGTAATGAGACATTGCACATAAGCGCACAGAGTAGCGATCAGTTGCCCAAAGCCCTTGAGGAGCCCAGTTCTAAGAGCCAATCCATTTCCCCCTGATGTCAGCAGGACCTGCAAAGCATTCTGCAGTGCTTCTGCTCAGGAGTCCAGGCTGGCATCCAGGTCAGAAAAAAGGCAATCAGAATCAGAAACACGTAAATCACAGAGCATGTCTGCCTTTGACTGGGCTCAGAAGAAGTGCAGGAATGGCAGAGGAGGTGTATGAGCAATTTCACATTAATTCACGTTTCCCTGGCACAAGTAGGTAGTTTGAAAACAATTTACAAACATTTAAACAAAATCCTAATTGCAGTTATAACAGTTATCTTTTAAAAACAACTTACTGAAAAAATACAAACCCTTAACCTGCAATTTTGTTATCATAAAGATGTAGCTCTTGGGCTCCCAGAACAGTAATGCATTTGAACTCATTTTTACAACTATAAACCTAAGCAATTCTGCTGCAATAAAGCCCACCTGCCTCTACTTATGCAGCACTTCACACAGCAGGGTCTGCACAATGAGCAACAGTCCCAGCAATGGCAAAGGAACCACGATACAATCCTAAGGGAGGTCTAGCTTCAAAGAAAGCAGTGTGCTATATGTCCATGCTCTTAATGAACAAGCTTATAAATTGACACTCAAACGCAGCAGCTGAGAGGGAGTGCATACACAGACCCATGGAGCTTTGGGAGTCTCTGCAACCAGGGAAGCTCCTGCCAAATGAAGGCTGCTCGAATGCAGCCTCTGCCATACCAAGTACTTGTAAACTCTGTAACAGGTAGGCAGAGAACGCAAACATCACGGAGTGATTCTGGCCTCAAAAGCTGTGACTACAATTGTGGTATAAGAGCCACATCTAATGGTCTAATGCTCTGATCCCTTCTCCTTTACATAAAAGATACAATCACTGTCACCCTTCAGCTGGCAGTCTCACGTGTGCAAAGTGCGCAAACCCTCAAATTAAAAGTTAATTCCCCAAGGTTAAATTCCAAAATGTTGTGAGCTCCTCTAAGTTCAAAGGAAAGCAAAATGAGCGAGACCCAAACATACACAAAACAAACCAACACGTTCTCTACATGGAGCTTCACAGATGTACTTTCAAACATTTCTAACAGCCCTAGTCCTTTTCCATCAACTTTTTTGTATTTTTTCCCTGACAATCAAACCACTCGCCATTGCCTTGCCTAGAACTATCCAAGAGGCTTTCAGGCCATTGTGGCTTCAGCCTTAAGTGCTATTTCTTTCTGAAAGCTGGAGAAAATTTTAATCCTTACAGCCTTACAGAAGAGAGAAATTAAATAAATTATCTAGATCTTTGCAAATACCCATAATAGCTATTTGCAGGAATGCCTCTGCACCCATCCATCATGCTGAAACACACATTCAGACCAGGTCTGCTTAAAGATGCTCCCTCAGCAGTTTGGACTAGCACCATTAAATATGAGTTAAAACAGTAGCAACAACCCTAGGCCAATTTATGATTTAATATAATCATTTTGGAGAAGTCGGCTTCTGGAGGATCTACAAAATCCTCTTAAGTTTTGCTCCAAAAATCTATTTTGCACAGCTTTTAGTCAGGTCTGTGGAAAACAAGTGTTGCTGGGGCCTGTGGAAAATTGCAATTAAATTATTTGCAAGATCCTCTGCAACAGTATTCAACAGTATAGTGGAAGATTTATGACAACAGAGAGAGCCTACGTTCATTTTAGCAGGTAATTTTCATGTAAAAGTAACATCATTAATAAACAGTTTAACTTACTTCTCAGTAGAAATGCAAACATTTGACACCAGAGATGAATGCTGGCTTCTCTTGCATGTTTTCAGGTTATTCTGTAGGGAGGAACTGCTGTGCATGTTTCAACATGCTTCTTATGACTTATAATCCCCCGACTTTTAAGAGTTAGGTAGCGTGTGGTGTTTCTGACAAGACTGGCTGAAAAAGAGTTGCTTGTTGTCAGGGGAATTCAGTCAATTTGATTCTCTACCGCTGAGGTCAACAGGATTATTCAAGTGAAGCACGGTCACCCTAAGGCTGGGGTACCTGCAGACACCTACGTGTATGTTATATACAGGCCTGGTATAACGAATTGGCAAGAGCATCAAGTGCAAAGTTCAGGGCCAGATCCAGACTCCAACAAACAGTGAGATATGGGTTTAGACAACCCTTAATCCTCCAAGTTTGAATCTGGAACTGACCTTGCTCAGAATGCATTCAAACCCAGACTCCAGGCTATCTGCTGTGTAAGACGTCCATTCTGACACCGCTGTAACCTCTCATGCCACTCTTCTGAAAACGCTTCAGATTCTGCATCAAAGACATCCAAGTCCCTCACAAAACCCCCCAGGGAGAATTGTGACATTGTGGTCAAGATGTTACTGCATGTTGGAGAAGACATAAAAACCAAAGACACCAAACTGCCGAACATCCAACGAATACTGAGTCTGCTCTGAACGTAAAACTTTGATCGTTTGCAGCGTTAATCCCACCTGAAATCATCATTTTATTTTTATCAAAGAAACAAAAAGAACTTCAAAAACTCTACCTAGAGTCACTGGTTTCTGCCAAGCGGTTGTTCATGATGGCTAGAGCACCCACCCCTGCAGAGAACCCGTTGTGCCTCGTATTGATACAAACGTTCCTCGGGTAGCCATTGGCTGTCTCGTACAGCTGCTTTTGCAAAATAGCAAGAGAGACCTTGTTGGACGCCGTGAGCTCCCTCATGGAGATCATCTCTCCAGAGAGCCTCCTGCCATCTGTGTCACTGTCGTACTGCCCGTCAGCCTCCAGGGAGATTTTGTGACGGCGCAGGCGGGCTCCTGGGGTGATGGCGTTGCGACGCCCAAGGCGGGTACTCGACTTATGGCACTTTGGGCAACATCTGCATCTGAGTTTTTTCAACACCCAGTTCAAGAGTTGCTTGATTACAATTGAGATGACGTTAAAAAGAGAGTATATGCAACATACCCCCATTAATATAAAGATGAAGTTTCCGAATCTGTATAATCCCTGATTTTGGTACACAGCGTTTTGGCTGCTTACCAAATCTCCAAAGCCGATGGTGCTAAAGGTGACAAAACAATAGTACAAGGAGTCGACGTAGTTCCACCCTTCCACCAACGTGTACATCGCAGAAGCGCAGCACGAAAGCGTGATGGCAAAAATTCCCAGAATGAGCATCACGTGATAAACAGATGGCTTCCAGCCGATGAGGCTGCCCACCCCCGACATAGCTGAACCTCTTCGGAAGTTGGGAGGTAGGAGACCACTTCTTCGCAGCTGTCTTTCGTGGCAAGCCTTCATGATGAATGCCAGGAGGGAGATAATGCGCTCCAGAAAGAGGTTGAAGAAGAGGATAGTCCCAGCACACCCAAAAAGACCATAAACGATGAGGAATACTTTTCCAGCCACTGTTGCCGGCGTGGTCATTCCAAAACCTAAGGTGTGGAGAAAAAGGAGGAACGTTACTGCCACAGTTTTTCATGCATAAGCTCAGGAAGCGTGAAACTTATCTTGTCCCACTGGGCAAAAGAGAGTCCTATCTCTGTGTCAGATAAGGTCAACACGAGATAAGTTTTGTAAAGAATGAAGGAGGCACTGAAAATCTCAATAAGGTGATTACAGCTCACAGGAGAGCAAAAACTTCCAGCAGTCATGAAGGAGTCATAGGGAGACACCACAGCCACTGAGAGAGTGCGGCAGGGGAAGAAAGCCTTTGTGAGCCTACAGCATGCTGAGGTGAGGTGAGACAAACGGGTCACCTCCCTGCTTCCACTGTGTGAACCAGCACGGCCAGCTGGGAAAGTCCTCCATTTATGAGCTGTAAATCAGCATAATACTATTACCATCAAAGTCTGATTACACCCCCCGGCTGAGAAGATGGAAGTCTTCAGGTTACAAAACAGAAGGAAAAAAAACTCCCAAAATATTGAACATTATTTTACAAATAACACCATCGTAACACTCTAACCAAACCCCAACTGAGCCCAGCCCACCTGACACAGACACAGAGAAAAGGAAAAGCCTGCAGGTATTGCCCTTGTTACTGCTATTCTTCTCTGTAAAAGTACTCAGTGGTTCAGTCAAAAATCATTCTGATGGGGCTCAGGTGACTGATCACACTCCATGGATAAATAACCAGCTATAATTAAAATGAACGCACTGCCCAAAATGACAAGCTGAAATCTTTTTACCTCACTGTTCCATGAGATTGCTGAGCAAGTAACATACTTAGGGAAGTAAATATCAACAGCAGACCATGCCAGTGAAAGTTTGCTAAGAAAGCTGCATTTAACAGATAATGTGAACATAATGAAATCATTAAATCTGGTTTATCATTATGCACCTATAAGCAGAAAAAGAGAAACATTTCTTATGTATAGCGAGTTGAGATTGCTGCCTGAAATCCATTTAAATATTCATGAAAATGTGGAAGTGAAAAATTTGCAGAGTAGTAGAAAAGAATAAACAAGTGGCACAGATGTAATTGGCTGTTGTTGCCCGGACCCACAGCCCCTCTGTTCTGTTGTGCTGAAGATCTACCTTCCAAGTAGGCTTCCCAAAGCCTGCCTTGCTATTCCCAGACTTAATAAGGGTGGATAAGGCTTTAGTCAGCTCCTCTTGTGCAGGGTGAAGCTGCTCTCTGGGTGAGCCTCTGTGCTTGCCAGAGCCCTCTGGTTTGGTGATAAATATCCACTAGTGGTCTCCAGAAGAAGTCAGGAAGTCTGTGTGGCTGCCAGCAAGGAATACACAGCCAGCTCATTAGGGAGACGGCATCTGTCAGCCCATGCCTCATCAGCAAAGTGGTTAAACATGAGCTTCACTGTAAGTGCCTGACTATCATGATCAAAATAAATGGGCTGTTGCACATATGGCTAAACACGTTAATTAATTATGAATTAAAAAAAAAAACAGTGTCAGTTTAGGTAGAATTATAAGCGCGCTGAAGTTTTCTAGTGTTGTCTGGTGCTGTCAGTGGTGATGTGTATTTTTCATATGGCTTAAGTTTAAGAGATTTCTGAAGCATAATGTTACCAACGTTTTCTACATATCTATGCAAGGTGAAAAGTCACACCCCTGTAACAAGATACTAAGGTGTATGGAAAACAAGCAAAGAGCATGCCCAGGTAATGCAGTACCACCAGGTGCTCCGTCAGCAGCCAGCAGCACACTCATGTCCCCTCCTATAAGGTCTGTCCCTTTGGCACCACCCAGGTCACATAGTGTTACTCCTGCTGTGCTCTTCACTTGAGCTCAGCCCCTCCTCAAGGCCCAGTATCATCCTGATCCTCAGACAAAATAAATTCAGGCAGAATATCTATGCTTTGAATCTTCTATTTAAAGCACAAGAGTGCTTCGATTTTTCCATGACACTGGCATATATGGCTATATATATGGCAATGATATACATAAAGTCAATGCTGGGGTTGACTGTGCGTCTCAAGCAGTTATTCATCTTCTCTCATTCTAATTCTGCCACACTCCAACCTATGACTTTGGATGCACAGCCTATAGCAGCATTAATTTCACTCTATCCCCAGACAAACAGAATTGACGAAGACGATTTGATAAAAGCAGATAATGCTTATGCAGCCTCTCATGGCTAAGTAAATTAATGAGACCCTTATTCTTACTTGCTTATTAGGTTTTTTAGGCACTATTCAGCCTGCAAGAGTTCTGATATATTTAAGCTGATGATTAAAGGCAGAAACAATGAAACATGAACTTGCAAAAAGGAACGTGCCTGTGACATGTTGGTCTTGGTTTTGAAATTAAAGGCGTTGACAGTTTTCCAGTAAAGATATATTTACCCAGAAATGGAAGAAAGTTTTGGTCACCTGAAAACAGAACACAAGAACTGAGTAAACAGAAAGCTTCCCATCCTCTGCCATAGGACACTCCTGCACTATATGTAAAGGAATGAAAAAAAACAACCCTAAACCAATCCAAGCCCTAAAATTGTCAAATATAACTTTTAAAACAAATGATTTCTCTAAACAAAGAAAGTATCTATAACTGGAATGCTGTTACCAGGCAGAATTAATTTCTTGAGATGTAAAGACTAAGCTCTACAAGGCTGGTCGCCAAGAATGTAGGTTACAGAAAGATAAACTAAAAGCAATCAGTTTTGTTTCATATCTGCTCCAAACGTGCTTTGTTTACTTCATGGTTTCCCAGAGTCCTGATAAGTTGCTACTGCCCAACATGTACACATTCTGTATTTTAGAACTAACACTCTGGATTAGGGATCTTGTGCTCCTTTTAATCACTTTTCACCTGCCAGCACTTCATCATTATTGCTTCTGACAGAACCGTACCTATCTATTTCCCAGCTACCTCTCATTTATTCTGCAGCTCCTCAATACCTAATATCCAGGAACAGTTGCCCTGGATACAGGGTCACAGTGCAGAGCAGATCAAACTGCTGCAGACAGAACTCTTCTGCCACATACACAGCTTTCTCCCAAGGACTGGGACCACCACAGTCAGCCTTTTGAGACCACAAATGAGTAAGTTATTTTTCCTTAACATTCCTGACAGCCAGCTTTATCAAAATACCCCCACTCTGGTGATCAAACAGTCCATTTTTTGAGAGCTTTACTAATAGAGCACTCCAATAAACTCAATGAACATAGCGTCAAGCCAGGTGACCACTGCTTCTTGTTATACCTCTGCCATTGAAATATCAGTCTGGTGCTTGAGACAATTGCTGTTCAGAAGAACCCATGCTGGTAGAATGATGGAGATGATGAATTGAACTCCAAGGAGTTTCAAGAAGCTGTGAGAAATCATTAAAGGCTTCTGACAGCACCACTTCTCCTCTGTTTATACATGGTTGTAACCAGATTATTGGTTATGCAAAATGCTGCTCTGCACAGCAGTACTGAGTAACTGTAACCCTCCTCAGTGCTTCTCTACATTCTATCCACCACCCACGAGGCCAAGACCAGGTTTTCACTCCTTTTAAAAGTAAACTCGGTTCTATGAGAATCAGCACATTTGTCAGCCTCTGCTGTAACCCAAGCTCTCTTCACAGAAAAGGAAATAAGATTAACAGTATGGTTATTTAAAATATCCCCAAGTTTTCTGTTTTAATACAGTCAAAAGACAACCTCAAGTGTTATCACTTTGATAGCAGTCTAAGGCACTGGAGGTGGCCCTGAGGAAGGAGAGAAGAAACATTTAGATGTTGTACTGAGGAACGTGGTTTAGTGGGGAAATATTGGTGGTAGGTGGACAGTTGGACTGGATGATCTTGGAGGTCTTTTCCAACCTTTATGATTCTATGATTCTTTGATTATAGCCCTGCTGCATGTGTACATTTACCTTCTCCTGCACACTGCAGGGCTCCCAAGTGTGTTTTTGTCCACTGACATCTGGCTGAGCTTTCCAAGAAAGACTGTCAATTTCTAGTGAGTGATCAGCAAAGACATTTATCAGATCAAGTGGTATAACTTTTGTACATCTGAATGATAAATGGCCCTGAGAGATGTGTGCTGGAGTCTCAGCTTCACCACCAGCAACAGTACTATTGCTCTATTCATCTACTAGAGGTAGGTAAGCATTTTTTCTGTGTTGGACTGCACGCTGCCATTTCTGTGTGCATGACGAGAACGAAAGGCATATCAAAGATTAACCCCCCAAAACCCTGCTCATTTCTGTACACAGAAATGTAAGTACAGAAGAAGGCTGACCACCTGCTCTGGACAAGCTGCTTTGGTACAGTCAAGGTTAGGAAGAAACACAAGTGTCTCTAAATCAGTCTTATGGTCATTGGCTGTGACTGGCTGCTCCTCTCTGTACACTGTATGAGCAAATGGCTATTACTAAGCCTCCAGCATCGCCAGAACAGCAGCAGCTCCAGCACCAAGGCTGCTACGCAGCTCCCTTCTCTCCTGCCTGCATCTCTAAGCATGGGACACTCAAGATTGGTCACAGGCTTAAGGGTGGAAATCTCTGGCAAGATTACATTTGGGTTTGCTGGTTAATCCTATCATATCACTTCAGGGTTTCTAATATGGGACAGAGTCTCCAAAATGAGACTACGAAGAACAAAGCTCAGGGAAGGATTGGTTCCTGAAAGCCAGAAGAAAAACGAATTCAAACTACAAAGAAAGTAATGACTGACAAGATGGCAGTTTTCTTGCCAAGTCTCTGGACTGAACAGAGATAGAGGCACTTTGCAGAACCAGCGTCCTTCTTAACTTCTCTGTTAACATAGAGGTCACAAATAAACACTCTTTCAATGCATCCATTTTTACTGCTGTTGAAGCAGCACGCTCTTTCTTTTGACTGCAGACTGCAGTGTCCTTGTGAATTGCCCTAATCCAGCCCAGAGCTGCTTCTCCTGCTTGCCTCTACACCTGATGATCAGAGTCCTCTCTGGTTTGTTTTCTTTCCTTATCCTCCCAGCTGGGTGGAAAACACGTTGCTATTG